TGTTTTTGAAATATTGTACTAACAAAGATTCTATTTCTTTAGGCTTTTTTTTTTGAGTTCTTTTTTTTTTTTTTTAGAGCTATTTGGGTTTCCATCAATCTTGTAAGAGAAAATTTCTGGGTGATTAGAAGATAAAGTTTCTTGAGCCTTGGTAACAAATAGAATGTCAAATAGTCAAATATTCTGGATATCGGCCACAATTGAAACTCTAGAGTAATGTAATAAAAATATAAAAATCTGGGAGCCAGGTTTAGATTATTGGCTAAAACTAGAATGGGGAATAAGCTCATAAAACAATGTATCCTTTTTATATATTGCATGTTTTAGTTCTGTTGTGTTTTATTTTAATAACTTTCTTTGTAGAGTTAGAGCAATAGGTAACAGGTACGGGGCATATGAATAGAACATCAAGTAGTCAGATTTAGGATTTAGGCTGAAATGTGAACTTCGGCGCTATTAGAATAAGACCAAGAATAGCTAATATCTTAGAATTAAGTATTGGGCTTTTTTTTTTTTTTTTTTTTTTATATATATATTTTTGTATTTAGTTCTTGCTTTTCCACATATTCTATTAACAAAGTCTCTTTTGTTTTGGAGTTTTATTTTTTCTATAGCCGATTTCATTTAGATAATTGACACGAGATCTTTGATCAAGTTAAGCAGCTATTAGTTAATAGTAATGTTCTTTCACTGAAATTTTCAGAGAGCTAAGACTTCTCTAAATAGAATATTTAAAGTTTGATTATTAATATATAGAACGAAGGTTTAAGTAAATTATCTTTATGATCAAAGAACTGTAGGACTTTTCCTGATAGAACTTCTAAAATTTGATTATTATGTATAGAACAAATAACTGGTAAGTAGGTTTCTAAGAATAGGATCTTGTTACAACTAAAATAGGTTTGATATTAAAATTCAGCTAGTTAAAAACTAATTTGGGAGATAGTGGGTTTTAGAGTTAAATAGAATTGGAGGTAAAGAGTAGTTAGTGATTTTAGATAAGATTAGATTTAAATGAAATGAATCAGGTTTAGTAATGGGTAAAAGATTGGGTTAGGGATAAGTTTATAGTTAGAAGGATCGGGGTTTATGGTTAAGGTTAGAAAATCAGATTTAATTTGAAATTGGGTTAAAGTTAGAGATAGAATGAGTTAAATTAGAGTATTAGAGAAAATGAGAATGAGTTGTAGTAAGAAATAAATAGTATTGGGTTTTAAGGATAGAGGTAAATAGAACAAATCTGAGTTTGAAATAAAACGAATTAGATGAATTGGGTAGATAAAAAAAAATAGGTGAAGTGAATTAGGATTAAATGGGTTAGATTAGGAATAGTTCAATATTAGAGAAATAAGCTTAAGTTAGAGTTAGATAGAATAAATAAATTAAATATAAAATGTGTTTTAAAATACAATTAGGAAATCAGATAATTTAAAGTTATAGTACTAAAAATATTTGGGATGTCTTCCAATTATTGTCAGAACATATAATTCTTAGTTTCTTTGAGTTTAATGGTAAGGATAGACGAAGCGAATTGGGTTTAGAATAAAAAAAATTGGGGAGTTAGTAGTAAGGATTGGGTTGGATTAAAAGTTTCATATACATATGTCAAATTAAATTATTTGTAATAAATAAAAAATAAATAAATAAGTTAATTTTTGCTATAGCAATTTATAAATTGTTATATATGCATATATGCTAAGAACTAAGAATTGGCATAAGTTTTTCACTTTTCTTTAGTCACGTGATTTGGTACTTCGTTTCGAAAATTTGAGCAAGTACTGAATTTGAGCTCTTTAACAATTTTGAATGTTTTTTTTTTTAGAAAACTATAGATATTTCTTACTAGAAAGTATATACCGTATCCTATTGTGAATAAGCACTACACCCTCTACCCCACTTTTTTAAATATCAGATTAGCAGTAATAATTTGGCTAAAGACTTCATTGCAATTTCCGCTAATCTGACATTTAAAAATTGGGGTAGAGGGTGTAGTGCTTATTTACGATAGGATACGGTAGTAGAACTTTCCTAGCCCTAGCATTCAAAAAGTATGTAATAGAATCTTCCTAGCTTCGATAGTATCATATAGACTTCTGAGACATAAAATTTTCTGAATTTCTTCTAAGTTTGTATTTTATAAGGTTGGGATTACTTATATCTACACTTTGGCTCGTGGGTAATCCGCACTTAATACTCTTGGTTAAGGTTTGCAGTAAGCTGTGAGCTATGGGTCCTTATATCTACATGTTTGGCTTGTGGGGTACCTGTCCAAGAGATCTAACCTTGGGATTGCAGTAAGCTGCAAGCTCTAGTTGCTATGAAAGCAAAGGCTTTAAATAGCCCTTCTGTACAAGTCTCTTTCAACTTGACAGAACTTTCTGTTTGCTATGAAAGCAGAGACTTCAAGTGTGCCCTTTTGTACAAGTCTTTTTCAACTTAACAGGACTTCCAAGTGCACTATTACTCCTTTAGTAATAGACGTTCACAAATAAATAAAGTAATCTTTAGTAATAAAAAAGAATATCCAAGTTAATGGATTCAATATTTTTAAGCTTCTTGGGAGATTTTCTATAATTCCAGAGGAGACTTTTTAGATTTTTGGTAGAGACTTTTAGCTTTTTTGGGGAAACATTTTAGCTTTCTAGGGAGATTTTTTATATTTCTGCCAGGAGGCACCAAAATATTACAAATGGGATAGTCTTCTTAATTTATCACTTGCAACATAGCACACAGCAACAGAGATCTCTAATACAACAAGACGAGATATGAAGCAGTGTGGAAGTAGAATGTTTCCTCACTAGGGCAGTTTGGTATATTTATTAGAAGTATTGAGACATAGTTTACTTAGGGCAAAGATATGTTTATTTATTTATAATACAATGTCTAAATACAAAGCTATCTCTAATATTTTAAAACATTGCAGAGAACGAATCTTCTAGTACAAGGAAGGTACCGTATTTTCCCCAAAATAAGCTATCACCTAAAATAAGCTACCCCCTCACTTTTGAGCAAAAAACCAGAAATCCTCTTTTACCTGAAAATAAGCTACCCCCTAAATTTTTCAAAAATTTTTAACAGTTGTTATATATAAAAGTCAAAATTGTACTAAGTAAATATATATTTTAACCTTAATAGAAGTTGTTTAGAATTATAGATGCTAGTGAAATTAAATCTGAGTGGTGAAATGATTTTACCATTTCACCAATCACCAATCGGTAATGGTGTAACTGGTGTAACTGGTGAATCAGTGTAATTGGTGTAATTGGTGAATTGGTGAAATGGCGGAATAGTGAATTTCTAAAGTCTGGAATTATTTCAGTTTACCGGTACACTTAGAGGTCAGAACTGTTAACTGTTTATTTATTCATTGGATTTCTAAACAATAATAAATCCAATGTATATACATTGGATTTACTATTGTTTAGATATCTAATGGATAACGAACTAATTCAAAAATACATAGCGATTGCAGAAACTAGTTTATGTACTGTTTAGTATGTTATATATCAGCATGAGAATATATTCCGGAAAGATTATAAAACTAGTAAAATGACGCCATTTCGCAGGGCTGGAGCCTATTTATTACACGCTTAAACTTGGAAATAAAATTTGTAACATATATATACGTACTAGTATATGAATAATAGGAATTTTAAGTAGTATTTAAGTTTATTTAATGTAGTATGCATGTGAACATTCATAAATTTCTATTAAAATTTATAACTTTATAGAGTAATCTTTGTTTGACTAATCTGTTATAAACGTGCACTTTCTCCTAACTTCTGTAATCTACTATAAGAAAATATATTGTTGAAAAAAAGACCAGGGTCCATATCATCCCCTTTTTGAGGTTAATTTTTCTTGATTGCATTTATCATAGGAAATCTCTCTTTACAAATAGGGCAGAAAATGAATTTAAGCACAAACCTACTTTAAAAGACCCTTATCGTAATTAGAAATCTGGCATGCAAATGGTAATGACAAGATATTTTGAACCTCTAAAAAAAAAAAAAAATTAGTTAATATAACTAGTCGACATTTTGTAATTAGTTGAAATTATATAATAAACATTACGTTCGACACTTGGATTTGTATTTATTTTTCGACATTATTATCTTGACATTTGCGACGATTTTACCTTTTTATTGACTTGATGTTCTTCAGGTGACATAGAAGCCAATTCTTTTTTCCAGCGTCATTTCTTGCAGCCTTTTGTTCAGGCGTATAAATTTTTTTCTTTTTTTTTACATCGATACAATAAATATTAATTAGCTTTTAATTAGATTTGTTAATTGTTATCATATTTATTACGTTAATCGTCATTTTATTTATCATATTTTTTAGTCTTTTTTATTTATTTATCTTAAATTTTTTACAGAAGATATGTGTTCAAAATCGATTCATATAATTACAGGGGTAGGAGCCAGACATCGACTTAAATTAGTAGAGCATAGAAAGGTCTTACACTCCAGCCCAAATATAAGAATAAATAATTTAATTATATGAATCTTGTTTTCAAATAAATCTCACGTTTTCATGATAAAAACTTTTTTGTCGGCCAAAAAGCCGTATACGTATAAGTTTGATTTTAATCAGATGTCAATGCAAAACCTGCTTACTTATCTGTGGTATCTGTAAAATATCTAGTTTTTAAAATCCGTGGATAACCATATAATCTAAAAACAACCAGATTAAAAATTAGTAATTAATTTTTTAAAGGATAAATCCGTACAGATAAAAAAAAAAATCTGGTTTCAAGCTCTAATGAAAAAAAAAATTTGAAGTAACGTGAGAAAATAGTTATTCATAAAAAGAAACATGTTAAAATTCTAAATGCTATATCAATATATTGTATTACGATTCAACTAAATATCAAGTTTGAATCTAGTATCGAATACTGAACCCTGATTATAATAAACTAAAAAGGCAAGAATATTTAATTTTTACCAGTTATCGTGAACTATATATATTGATGACGATACATATATTTTTGAAAATTAATGGCATCACAGAATTCAGAAACTGCTTCTAATATATTTAGCATTAGTGAAAATAAACCACAAGAATATAGTGAAACAAATGAAACAAATGAATCAAGCCAATTACTTACAAAATGCAGAAATATTAGTGGTAAAAAGCAAGGAGATATTTGGCTTTACGTTAATCAAGGTATCAGTTTAGGTCAGGAACATTATAAAGCTAGTTGTAAATATTGCCCTGTTTCATGGGAAAGAGGTCGACCTGATGATATGCGCTTGCATCTTGCTCAACAATGTTTAAATGTTCCTGATGAAATTAAATATTTTTGGAGAGATTTCATTGCTGAAGAAAAAACTCCAACACGAAAAAAAACAAAACATAATCAATCTGAAATTACAATTCATTTTTCAACAATTAAACCACTTCCTGAAGCACAAGTAGAATCTTTAAATAAAGCTATTTTAAAAGCTTGGATTATGTGTAATTTTTCATTTGAAACTGTAGAGAATCCTTTTATAATCGATTTGTTTCAACTTGCAATTCCTGGATATGAACTTCCGTCACGTGATAGGCTTTCTGGTCGTTTTTTAGACCAAGAAGTTTTAAGAATTGATAAACGAATTGATAATGATCTAGAAAAAGAAGAATATCTTACTTTATATATGCAATATAAATTTTTTTTTAAAAATTATACGGTAATTAATAATAAATTAAAATTTAAAAAAATTTTTTTTACTGTATTAATAATAGCCCTTGATGGATGGACATCGCCTGCTCATGATTCAATTTATAACTTTATTATCACTATATCTAAGCGTAAGGAATATCTCATTAAACTTAAGGAGTATAACAAAGTTAGTCATACAGAAGAGTTTATGGCCAGTGAAATTTTAAGTTTTATTAAAAAAAATAAAGGTTGAAAAGTTTGCAGCAATTGTTACCGATTCAGGAGCAAATCTTCGAGTAGCTCGTCAAATCGTTCATGACACTTATCCTTTTATATTAAATATTAGATGCGCCGCATATACAGTAAACTTGCTTGCATCTGATTTTACTAAATTAGATTCAGTTAAAGATATTGTTACCAAATGCGGTTTAATTTTAAATTTTTTTCATAATTCTCATATTGCTCATGGATATTATTCAGAACAACTTCGCCTTATGAAAATTAAAGGTGGAGAAATTAAATCATATTGCAAAACTCGTTAGGGAATACTTTTTATGACAGTAGATTCAATTGTTAAATCCAAGCCTGTTTTTGATTAGGTAAGTGTAATAGTTAATATTATATTTATTTAACTTTAAATTTATAGTATTATAATGATAGTATAATTTTTTTATAGATTTTAGAAAATCACATGTCTGTAATCTCTAATACTGCGGTATTTGATCTTCTCGAGGATGAAGATTTTTATATTAAGTGCCGTCAGATTTCTGTTATTTTAAAACCTATAAAGGAGTTAACAAATTGTTTAGAAGCCAAAATAGCCAATTTAGCCGATATTTTTATTGGTTTGGTTAAATTAGCCACAAATATTAATCGAGTTAAAAATTCTAATCTGCGGAAAAAAAATATTATTATTAATTTTAATTGACGATTTGATGAACTTGTAAATCCTGTTACAATTCTTGTATACTGGTTACATCCTTTATATAGAGGTATAATATATATATATATAAGTTAGAGATGTGACCCGATTATAAATTTTATGATCGGATCATATCTCTATGTATAAGATTTCAATTATATATAAATGTATTAGGTCATGGCTTAAAGAGAATGGTATTGGATAAAATTTATGAAACAGCTGCATTAATTTGGAATGATTTACATTATTCGGAAGAGTCATGTACACAATTATTGGTAGAAATGCGAAGTTGGAAACGAAAAGATGAACCTTACCATCTTTCCTATAATTCTACTCGTAAAACACTAATTAAATGGTGGCATAGCATATATGTTGATGATGATCAAGATAAACTCCAACAATTAGCATTACGTTTATTCTCAATTGTTCCTTCGCAAGCTGTCTGTGAAAGAAACTTTTCAATGCTTAAATGGTTTTATGATGATAAGCGAACTCATCTTAGTTTTTCTCGAGTAGAAGATATGGCAAAAATACGCTCTTACTATCTTTTAAATTCTGATAAAGAACTTCAACTTTATGGCAAAAATCTAAATAATGAAGAGTTATATGAAAGTATTAATACATCTATGGTTACGTATGACTTATTTGAAACTTCAGATGAAAATACTAATAATGGTGAGACTAATAATTTGGATGATATTAATGAAAGTGAATATTTGGAAAGTTTAACGTTAAATATTGCAGATTCAGTAGATTTAATATTAACAGAGTTTTTAGCATCTGGAAATGCAATATTTTCTTTAGAACCTGTTACAAATAATCGGGCTAGAGATGTAGGCAATATGAGTTATGATCCTATTGAGTTAGCACGTCAAATGGTATTGCAAAATGAAGAGAATTAAAAAATTTATTATATTAGTATTTGAATCATGCATATAATAAAATTTTTTTTCATTTACCCGATACGACGTAATAAATATAAGGTTTAAATGATAAATCGACATTTAATAGTAATATACGGCGTAAAAATTTCTTATTATTGGAATGGCGAATGACAAAAAGTCAAAAAAAAAAAGAAATTGCATAGTACGATATATAAACAAATCCAATTCTTTGTTGTGAACCTACTTTTAAGATCAGTAGTTTCAAAACCTAAAATTTACAACTATTAAAATTTTCTTTTTGTCTTTATAAGATAATAGGAACGTACTCCTCTTGCAACCAGGCTTAGCTAAAAATTAATATTATAAATAAAATCTTGAAATTAAATCTAGGTGAAGTAATTTAAGTAGGCCCAAATTAAGGCTATGATTCTAACTGAAATCGTAGATTAGAGTATTTTGGATTTATAACAAAGAAATATATCATAAATACTTATTAGCATTCTAATTTTATTATACATGCAGGCAAAGCGAAAACAAAACAAAAAAAAATCAATGAATTCGGATGTTGAAGGTAGCATAGAGCATTCACTTATTATCAAGATCTGATACCAATACATGCGAAATGTTTGAATGGTACTTGATATGTAACACTTTCAAAAAAAAATAAAAAAAAATCATTCATAAAATAATTTTATTTGATCACAATGTAGTAAAACCCTCTGCTACATCAGATTTCTTAGGAAATATATTTTTTTTATTTTTAGCAGTACCAATGCCATATTCATAACAAACCCCAAAATTATAGTCGCCATCTTCAGCAGATTTTAATACCATTCAAATGCTTTCTTTTCATCTTCAGCAGTACCTATACGTTCTTCTGGCAAATCCAAGATTGTATTTTTCAACAGATTTACCACCTTTAGCGGATTTTAAATCCCACTTTTTTTATTTTTAGTAGTATAAAAACCATTCTTATAGTAAAACACAAGGCTGTGTTGTCTATTAAGATCACCTCCTTTAGCAGATCTGAATACCGTTCAAATGTCTTCTGTAACGCCTATACCATTTTTATTGCAGATTCTGAGACTAAATTATCTGATAGAATTACCGCATTATACATATTTTAAAAACCATTCAAATGCTTTTTTTACGTCTTTAGCAGTACCAATTCCTATATCAGTGCCTAT